ACGAACTTTTCATACATTTCTATATGAGATGAGCACACCAACGTCATGATTAATGGATTCACATAGTTTCGTTTCTAAAGTCACATGAAAGAGAAAGAGAGAAGGGTTGTCACTCTAACTAAAAGTTTGAAGGTCTTCCAGCAAAGAAAATAAAAAAATAAAAAAAAAACGCTTTTGTTAATCACTGTAGAAGCTTTTTCTACTCTGACAACCCCATCGTAGTACAAATAACGCGAGGCGGAAGCTGCATTTTAAGAGACAAAGTGCGTATAGGGGGTGAAAAAAGTTTCTTCTTTTTTACTCAATTTAAAAAGAACTCTCATTAATATTTTCAAGTAATAATTAATTAAAGATATTTTACTTTTTTCTTTAGTGTTTATTTTCGGCGGATTTTATTAAATGTAGGTATTTTTTATTTTTATTATTTTAATGTTACAATTTTACTATTATTTTACTACTAGTGTTCTATTACATTACTGTTTTCTTATTATTTTATTATTACTGTTCTAATATTACTATTTTCTTAATATTTTTTATTATTTTCATACTAATTTTATATTATTATTACTATTATTATAATAATAATTATTATCATTATTAACAATAAATAATGATGTAGGTATTATTTAAACTAAAACTAAACCTGAATTGCGATAATTTAGAGATACTTATACCTCATCTACATCATCTCGATTGCGAGAGAGTTTTCATGCCATCTGGACGGCAAATTTCAGAACTAATGGCGCGAAATTCAAACTGGTTCAGTATTTAAATTCCACTTTCTTTGAGAATTTGCTTTTCAAAATTTGTTCAAAGTGTAAAAAAGTAAAGAATAAAAAGAAAAAAAGAAATGAAAGTACGAGAATAAGAAAGGAAAAAATAAAAGGAGAAAGGAAAAAACAGAAAAATAAAAGAAAAAGAAGAAAAAAATAAAATTGAATGAAAAGAAAAATTACTTTGAAAGTAAAGAAATTTTTTTTACCATTTAAAAAATTAAACGAACATTTAAAAAGATAAGCATAAAACAATAATTGTAACTCTTTGATGAGTTTCAAAGAGAGGAAAAAGAAAATTAAGACAAAAAAGGAAAATCTTGACATGTGTATAGATGAACACGACACGGGCCGTATTATGTCATCTCATGATGTGACTGAAAAGTTTTTCAAGAACTTCCTTAAGCGGCGAGTGCCTTAAGCGTTTCTTGTAAAGTACTGTGGAAAAAGAACTGAGAAAAGGCAGGAAGGAAAGAGAAGTTGGTTGGACAGCGCTTTCTCTCTCCTCTTTCTATTTCTTAGAAAGAAGAAAAGGTTTCGCGCGGACGTGCAAAAATTAACGACCCTACGCCTTGCCTACTTTCATAACTGTAAAATTCAACAAAAAAAAAAGAAAGAAAAAAAAATAAGAATAATAATAAAGAAAAAAAATTCATCATTACCAACTGTGAGAGAAACGCATAAAATGCACTTCAACGATTTAAGAAAGTTTTTCAACTGCTCAAGCAAGACTCTTAATTAGAGAAACTACACATAATTATTCTTTTCATCCCTTTATCTTTCGTTATTAATTTATTTTCTCCACTTTTTTATTCCACCAGTATTTTAAGTTTATTATTTAATTTTTATTTATTTACTTATTTTTAATTTAATTATTTCACCTGTTTTATTTTTTTCGTAAAATAATTAAATGAAATAAAATAAACAAAGTAAATAAAATAAAATAATAAAATTGCATTACATAAATAAAATAAATAGATTGAATAAATAATAATTAAAATAATGAAACAAATGAAAATAATTTAAATATGTACGAGTAGAATATTTAGATAATAAATATGAAAATGAAAAGTAATTGTAGTAAATATTTATATTTTATAATCAGTGTTTATTAGTATATGTTAAATATTGTTGGAAATTCGGAGAGAAATGTTTCGTGAAAGAACAAAAAAAAACCATGTATTTTTCATTTTTCCACTCTCTCAATTTAAGTGAAAGATTATCAAGTCGTATTTATTAATTAAAATATTAGTACGTGAAAAAAATTCATGCAACATCTATTAAAAAAATTTTTTTCATATTAAATAATTCTTTTATCATCGCATTTGAAAGGGATTACCAGTTAAGAGATAATGAAATTGCTGAGCTTTAATTAAAACGACAGTGCTGAATTTTTTCACAGTTAAATATTTTCTTTTGCTTTTATTTTTGTTTGTTGATAAAATGGTATAAATCTCATTTTTTTTTCTAAATAATAAGAGTAATAAATTACAAGCGTTTTGTAATATAAAAATGTACGCATGTAAATTGTATATTTATTAGTAAAAAGGAGAACATTATTGGACATATTGTCATATTGGTTACATATATGACACGTCTGTTAAATAACAATAAAGTTTTAAGTACCTCATTCTCTATTTGTCATAAATGTTAATATTTACAGTTAAATCGTAAATTAATATTGACAATGAATGAATTTCTGGTTTATAACCATATAGTTGATTGTAGTAACTATTTTTTCCCTCTCTTTTTTTTCGATTGCTTTTGCTAAATTTAAGTAAAATTTTTAAATGATTAATAAAATTTTTATTTTAAAAGATTAATAAATGTTAAAATGGATGCAATTATCAATTTAAGGTAAATGAGAGAATTATTTTTTATTTTATTGGATATTAACAAAAGGAAATGATCCATTTAATAATATTGTGATAATTGAAACGATAAATATTTTGTCGAAGGTTTTTTCGATTGTTTTCAAATTTGTTTTCAACAATTTAATTTTAAACTCCATACAATTTTTTTGTTTTTCTTTTTTTTTAATACTTTTTTGTGAATTATTTTTTTATTCCCCTTTTTTTTAATACTTTTTAGTGACTTTTTTCTTCTGTTTTATTCCTTTTTTTTGTTTTTTTTAATACTTTTTTTGTGATCTTTTTGTTTTTTTTTAAAAAAGGCAATAAATTTAAGTTCGTGTGGCTTTGTAAAATCTCCTTGGACTATAAATTTTCGTTTTCTAGTGTGAAAAAGATTCTTGGTCAACTAATCTTGCAAAAAAAAAAATGAAAAAAAATAGACAATGATTCTTTAGTTTATTCGGAGAAACTTTCTTGTTGATCTGTTTGATTCAACGTATCGAGTTAATCGATTTCCACTTTATTTGTTTCGAGTAAAATTTTTTGCAGTATGAGATTGAAAATTTGTTGTCGTATCGTAAAATAATAAATAGAATAAAAACTAAATAAAAATTTATTATTCTCCTCTCTCACTGAATAATTTTTCCTTTTTTTGTACAAGTTGTAATTATACATTCTGTAGACGATTATTTTTAAATTATTCCCTTTTTAAGAGAACAAAAGACTAAAAATAACAAACAAAATTTTTTTTATCTATTTGCAAATATAAAATAAAGAAATATATTTAAAAATAAACAAACTAATTGCTTCTCAAAAATAAAAATTGCACAGTTAAAACTAAAGAATAAAATAATTAATAAAAAAAGGAAATTTTCTTTTAATTATAAATTTTTTTGTTTTTTACAGTAATAAATAAAACATTTTTCCTGAATTTTTTTAACCAAAAAAAAATCTCTCCACAATTCGATTCGACAAATAACTGTCAATTCTATTCCAATTGAAATAAATTAATAAAAAAAAAGACGAAAGAAAAAAATCTGCTATAACATAATTACATTAAAATGACAGAGAGAGAAAAAAAGAAATCTGTTATATAGCAAACTGACAGAATATAAAAGTAGGCAGACGATGTTGTGTATAGTAGGTGAATGTCGATTCAACGGATTTAAAAATTCAATTTTTCACAGAGTGGCAATGATTAATAAAGCAAGTTGTGGCAGATGTATAGAGCTTTTATACCTGTGGGGAAAAAAAAGCGTAGCTAGTAGTACTGAAAAATTAAAAAAAAAAAAGAGTAAAGGAAAAAAAATACACGTCCGATATTTTGAAACGAAAAAAAAATTTTTTTTTTCAAAAAGCATCATAGTTATTTGTGCAGTAGAAATGCAATGGACATTGAGAGTACTGCGTTATATTTATTGCATACGCAATCATGTCCTGACACACTGTATATACTAATTGTAACTGACCTACATTACCAAGTACACACTTGAATTTAATAACTTTTGGATATTATTATACTGTATATATACACATACTGAACATGTGTATTATTATGTCGGAAATAAATTTTCATTTCATATTATAATACTGACTATGGAAAATTTTATACTAATTATTATGTATTGACTTATTTTCAAGTCGAAATTTTAATTGTTACTACTTTTGTTAATTAAACCTTTTGCGTTTTAATTTTAATCAAGGCTTTTTAATATTATTCATTTTGAAATTTTATATACCTTTTTAGAATTATATTATCTTTTTAGAATTATATTATTTATAAAGATAATTTCTGCAATTATTTATAATTTTTCCAAAAATTTAATTTTTAGTGTTTTGAACAAAAATTTTCATTGCAAATTTTTAAATTCTATTATTTTTATAATTGCTAATTTTACCCTTAAAAAATTATCCGAATTTGTTACTAGTTAGTAAAATAAAGTAGTTAGGTATAATATTATAAAAAATAGAAAAAAATTTTTTAATTCATTTATGACAATAATTAACAGTAATTAGTAGCATAATTAGTTACTATTATTATTATGTTTAATTAGACGAAAAAAGTTACTTTACAGTCTATTACAAAAAACAACAAATAAAGCAAGTTGGAATATAATTTGAATAAACTTTAAACTTTTAGAACAATATAATTATGTATGAATGAGAAATGGGAAATATTTTGCATTCTTAGGGGAAAATATTCCGTGGAGAGTTATGCGCTTCAATTGATTTCATACTGAATCCGGTGATTTCATTCTTCTATATATATATAGAGAGAGAGTGAGTGAGTGAGTGAGAAAGAGATAACAATGCCTAGGATTGATTCAGAGAGAAACGGATTTCAATTAACACTATTCTCAAATTCTTGTTACAGCTTCGAGTGGAATTCAGAAGTTCGAGGAAACACCACAGTATACGGAAGTCAATCCTGGTCAGGATGCAAAACTCATTTGCCGCGTTCTCGATAAGAGGGGCCAATGCATCTGGCAGAAAGATCAAAAGGTAAAAAGTTTCCCTCATTTCTAGATTTTTTTTTTTTAATATGATTTTCATAGTTTTAGGACTTAAGTAAAAAAAAAATGTTTTTAGGTAGAAAAATCGTTTATAGAAATCGGATAGAATTTTTTTTTAATGGGGAGAAGTAGTAACGGTCAATTTTCGTCAGACAATACTTTTTAAATTGTTCCTTTCGAAATGCAAGTAGTAAGGGTCAATAACGGTCAGACTTGGCTTATAAAATCAGCTTGCTTACAGTTTCAGTAGTAACGGTCAATTTTCGTCAGACAATGCTTTTTAAATTGTTCCTTTTTGCAGTGTACATTTCAATAAATATTTACTTACGAAATAAACTCGAGAGGAAAAATATTGTTTAACTCACCTGAAATAAAAATAAAATACTTTATATTAGAATTATTTTAATAAAAATTAGAAACTGAAAACAAAAAATAATTTCTATTAAATGAATTCTATTAAATTACTTTTGTTTTAAAATTTCCTCAATTTTACCATATTTGAATTAAATTTCAGTAAAAATTAGTAAAATTTACCACCATTTTTTATATCAAGAAAATGATTTAACTCTTCTGTAAATTTTGCGATGAGTTTTATTATTTTTAAACATAATTAAATTTCTGCGAAGGATTTTATTAATTTAAAAACTTAAAATGTTATATTGATAATATAAATGACAATTTTGATCTTCTGCTAGTCGGCGGCTGTGGTTCCTTTTTTTTAAAAGCGCTTAAAAATTACAAAAAATTTTCTATCGTCCAGGATGTTGTTCACCAACATCCCAGCAACAATCTAGGTTGTTAGCTGTGACTGTCAGTAGTATAGGTCAATTATAGTCAGACCTAACTTATAAAAACCGGTCATTTATACACTTTCAGTAGTAAAACACCTTTTTAGTCAGAGAAAACATTTTAGAATTTCAATTCATTATAGAGAAAATAGTAATAACGGTCGGTTATTGTCAGACAATACTTTTTGAACTTTTTTTATGAATACAGTAGTATAAGTCAATGAGAATTATACATTACTTATGTTAGACTTAGGCTCTATACTTACATGCCTGTTACTATTATTTTCAGTAGTAAAACACGTTTTCAGTCAGACAAATGACATTTAGAAATTTAATTATTTCTAGAGGAGAAAGTAATAAAGATTCATTTTCAATAGGCAACTTTTATGGTTCGTGATTTATAAAGGCCAAAGTAGTGAAGGACAAGTTGAATCAGTCTTAGAACTTCAATTTTAATTTACTTTTAGTGACAGTAGTAAAGGTCGTTATCAGTCAGACTATAAAATTCTTGTTTAACACTAAGTTTCACACTGCGAGTAGTAAAATACATCTTAAGTCAGACGAGACATTTCAAATTGTTCTTTTATCAGTAGTATAGGTAAGTTTCAGTCAGACAAATTTTTCATTAAATTATTGTAATCGTAACGACAAGAAAAGTTTTCTTTTATTAAAGTAAATTACTGCCACATAAACGAAATTGAATTTTTGTAATTTACGTCTAAGTATAGTATTACCTTGTTTTGGTCAGACATAATAACGCCGTTATATAAAAATTCGTTTTGTCTCTACTGTCAGTAGTAAAAATAAATTTCAGTCCGACATCTAGTATTAAATTCTTGTACATTTCGTCACAGTAGTACGACACCTTTTCTTGTAAACTAAATACAGAAAATTTCAGTGTTTACAGTTTTCTTGAAATTATCATAAATTGATACTAAATTGGATCTTTATGCCAAAAATTTGAATCGATTTTTGATTTGATTCACATTTTTGTTGGCAATTCGTTGCAATTTGATACTTTTTAACAATGATTGTAATTACTATCAAAAATTTTGTTGTTGTTTTTTATCCTTTACACAAAATAAAAAAAATGCTATTTTAACACCATAAATTTAGTGTCAATCGAGGTAATTATTTTATTTTTGAAATAGAAATTAATTTATTTCTTCCTTATTTTCATCATCTTTTCACTCGTTTTCAACTATACGACTATAGAAATTGCATTTAAGGAAAATAATAAAAATTCTGTATTTACTCAGAGGAAGAGAAAAGATTTCCCTCAATTTCAACTAAAATGTAAACGTAGAAAAATGTATATAAAAATATATATATATATATATTATGACTATTGCTATACTATACCGTACTATGCAATATACTACACTATTACTATACTAAAGGGAATATAATAAGGAAAATGGTAAGATCATGACAGATATCCAACATAAATCCGTGGGTTCATATCGAAAGGAAAACCTGGCGTGTCTTACATACAAAAGATGTAAGTTTAACTCGACACTATATGCCCTTCACGTAGCAATGACGTTCCTTTGACTATATATGTATTTCTCTGTCTGGGTGCTTGATTGGAGATGAGATGAGAAACCAGACAAATGCGGAAGTTCCACCCCTTTTGTGCGAGAGAAAGTATATATATAGTATAAGGAAAAAGGAATAGAAGAAAAGAAACGAAATAACAGAATTCCTTTCATCAACGCTATTTCAAGGAATCTATATATACACACTAACCTCATAAGCAATAATCACTCCCTCACTGTACAAAAATACGACACAAAAAAAAAATTCTATCTAAATTATATCGAAACCCTAATTCTTTAGGATTACATCGAAAAGGAAATAATCATCTTCAAGAATCTAATTAGTCCTTTGACTTTATTTTCTCTCTTCATTCCCGTCGCTTAAATCTTATTATATACATATTTACTTCAGTATAAAGTTATTACATTTTAACATAAAACATTTTAAGGGGGAAATTAAATTTTTCTTGACAGAAAAATTAAATTAGTAATTCGTTTTGTAAAAATTGGTTTTTCCTAATTAGTTTTTACTGCTTTAATTAACTGCTTATTATTTGTTTCTTTTTCTTCTCCTTTTTCTTCCTCTTCTTTTTGGAAAAAATTTAAGGATATGAAAAAAATTAATCAATTATTATTAGATACCCAATAATATATTTATTTATTATTATTTTTAAATTTTGTTTACTCTAATATTATAAATAAAAATAAATACAAAACTAACGCTGTGATTAAAATTATATGTTATTTTATTATTATTATTATTATTATTTTATTTTATTATTCTGTTACGTTTAAAATATGTATAATAAAATTATTATTAATTAAAAATTAAAGTATAATTAACTATAATAATGATAATAATAATAATAATAATAATAATAATAATAATAATAATTATTATTATTATTATTATTATTATTATTAAAATAAGTATCTTTTTTTATTTTTCGTTTTCAGTCTAAATTAAAATTTTATTTGTAAGGATCGATACTGGAAGCAACATTAACAAAAAAAAACTAGAATTTAAATAAATAAATAAATACGTAACCACAAAATTATTTTTAAGATAATTTTTTATGTGGAATTCAATGATCATAAAGTAAAATTGTTCAGAAAATATTTTGACCCTTTTTGAATTTTCATTTTTCTTTAAAATTAGTAGATTTTAAAATCCATGCGTGATTTTAATATTTGATTTGATTTATTTTGTAGAAAATATGTTTTTGAACCCACAGAAAAGAAGGTTTCATAATTTTTGAAGCATTTTTTTGAAACAAAATTTTGTTAGACTAAAAAATACATACTATTAACGTTGAATTTTTTTATTTGAAAATTCATTAGTTTATTCTTCTAATTAATTTCAAATCATAATTTTAAAATATTTTTTAAGTATAAAAATATGATCTAAAAATTAGTTAGAAAAATAAAGAAATGAATTTTCAAATAAACAAATTGAATAATAATTTCATTTTTTAGAATTTTCAACCTAAACAAAGATTTTTTTTTAAATGCTTCAAAAATAATAAAAATTAATTTTTTCATTTGGCAATTTTCTTGTGGATTCAAAAACGTATTTTCTATAAAATTACGCATGGATTTTAAAACCTACCAATTTTTATGAAAAATAAAAATTAAAAAAGAGTCAAAATATTTTCTAATGGATTTTATTTTACGATCATTGAATTTCTCAGAAAAAATTACCTTAAAAATAATTTTGTAGAATATTTAAATTATTTTCTTGATATAGTTAAAAATGTTGGTGTACTTTCCCTTTAATAAAAATGTTCACTAACTTTTTTAATACAAATTTAATTATTTCATTTAGTAGTTGACAAATTTTTTTTATTAAAGTTTTCATATAAAATTATTAATAATTAAATAATTTAATAATTGAATACTTATTCATACCCGAAAGTGACGAACTATTTACAATAATTAATTATTTTTTAATTACATAATCACATAATTTAATTTAATTACATAATTAAAAAGTTGAATAATGAAATTATTAAATACTATAATTAGTAAAAAAAAAATTTCTAATTGAAGTTAGTGTTTCGAATTTAGTGAGTATTTTATTTATATTGAAAATAAAAAAACGTAAATAATAAACAATTATAAATTTATAAATCGAGAAAAAAAATGTTCTTTCAAATACTTTTTGTAATGGGACAAAAAAGTTTAAGATTTTCATAATTTATTTTAATTAGCTTTATTTTCTCCCTAGTTAGTCTTGTTTTTCAAATTAATGCCTCAGTTGATTCGAGTCTGATAATTATATTCCTGATAGAATTAAAAAAATCTTCCAAGTAGAAATAAAGTAAAAAGAAATATTGATTGGATGTTATAAAAGTATTGTGTTATACAGTTGATTATAATGATTATATTGAAGAGGTCAATTATAACAGAGAAGTATATCAATTAAGTTAATAAAGAGAGAAACAAAGAAAGAAAGAGAAAAGTAAAATAGAAAAAAAACAAGAATAGAGAGAGAGAGAGAGAGAAAGGTAGAGGAAAACAAAGAAAGAGAGAGAGAGAGAATAAAAAAATTTGAGAAAATAAAAAATTTCCAATCACTGCTTTTTACAATGAGAAACAATTAGCGTGAGCCATAGTATTCAGAAACGTCTTCTTTATCAATTGAGTTATGTCTCTCTCTCATC